TTTCTCTTCCATTTGATATAGACAACATTTCTACTCATATTTCGAATAGAAGTATGTCAGGTAGAAGTGGTAACAATGGCCTTATTTCACCACTGATTTAATTAGAAGGGATTCTAATTTATATCCATTTCATATAATGGTAGCTGTTGTTTTAGATATATGCTGTTTATCATTTTAAGAATTATTCTTGTCTTTTCTAATTATTTTTTAACAAAAATCAATATTGTATTTCATCCAAATCTTTTTCTGCATCTGTTGACATCATATGATTTTTGCTGATTTTATTAATATAGTTAAGTTTATAGTTTTTCTAATTAAATCAAACTTGTATTCCTGTTAAAAATCCAACCTAGTTGTAATGTATAGTCTTTGTGATTTTTTTTTTTAGCTTTTTGATAATGTTTTATTTAAAAATTTTTGCATCAATGTTCATAGGGATATTGGTCTATAGAGTTTTCTTTTTCTGTTTTGACTTTGCCTGGTTTATGTATCAAGGTCATATCTGTGTCACTGAAGGAATTTATATCCTTTCTTTTGCTATTTTTGTAGATGGTTTATATAAATGTTGTAATTATTCTTTGAATAGTTGACAGAACACACTTGTGAATCCATCAGGTCCTTGATTTTTTTTTTGTAAGTTCAGTTTTTACTCTGAAATTGGGTTGTTTAAATTCTCTGTTTCTAGTTCTGTTAATTTAGATATTTTGTATTTTTTTGTAAATTTTCATTTGTTTCACTTAAGTTGTTGGTTTTGTTCAAATATAGCTGGGCAAAATAATTTCTAATAACATCTTGTGTTTCTTTTTCATTTGTATGATTGCTCTTTTCTTGTTTTTATACTAGTAATTTAGTTGACCTCTTTTTAATAAAATTAACTAATGGTTTTATCTACTTTGTTGTGATTTTTTTTTTCAAACTGGCAGCTCTTCTAGTTTTCATCTCCTTCCCCCCCCCCAACTTGGTATACTTATAGGTTGCAGGTTAGATCCCTAAAAGACATCTACTGCTTAGGGTTCAAGGCATTGTGTGGTCCTCAATCCTAAAATAATAGTACAGAAGCCCCCACTAGTATACTTACCTATAACAGTAAGCCAGTAGACTTAAGTAAGTTAAGCAAAGAAATTTACTGAGATGACATCATAAAAACAATAGTTAACACACCATTCTCCCCATAAACCAGAGGTATACTCTCTCATAACTGTATACACTGTCAATGGAAGAGTGTGCACATATATAAAGTAAATGGATAGAAAGGTACACACCTAAGTAAACCATCTGGCCAAGGTACCTCACAGCTCTAGCACAGTAGGGCCACAATGTGTTTACTTTTTCCATGATGCCCTTATGCTATTCCCCCTAGATACAGCATCTCTGCCAGGCAGATTCAGTTAGAATTCCTTGGCCAGTCCCTTTCCATTGCCCAATTCTGCATGTCCCAAGGCTTTTTGTTTTGTTTTGTTTTTCAATTCACAAAGGTCACATTTCTTAGGCCTGGTTCCTGCTTCTTCTCTCTATCCTGTTTCCTGCCAAGTTAGATGTCTTCTACAAGACACATAGCTTTCCTGCAAGATGCCATGGGGGTGGGGGGTTGAGTTTAGGGTGAGGAGGATGAATAAATCTCATTCCCTATCTTTCTGAAGAGTTAGGTTCTTCTTCCATAGTTGACTCTCTTCTCTGCTTCTAGGAGTCATGTTCTTCAGAGAGGTACCTTGCTTCCTGCCTCCTAAAGAGCAGATCCTGCATCTTAAGTCCCACCAGGGGTATGGCCTATCCTTCTGCCTGCCAGTATCTAGCCACCCTTTGATTTCACCAAGCTTGACTGAAGAACATCACTCCTTGGTGAATTCATCAGCAGGACTGGAGGGAAACCAATTGATCTCCATGCCTGGATCAGCTTTTCCTGACTGACCCTGCTACAGTAGGGTCATAAGTTTTTGGAGATGGAAGCCACGTTCAGCCATTTTACAGTTGAGGAAATCAAAGCCTAGAGAAATGGAGTGATTTGCCCAGTCACAGAGGTAATAAGTTGCTGAGCAAGTATTGGAACCCAAGTCCTCTAAATCCAAGTGTGGAGCTCTTGCCACTGTACTTCACTGCATCCCCATTGCGCCCTTTTGGTGGTCCTTCATCCTTCTTCATTGCTTTCTTTGTCCGCTTATTCTGTATTTTCCTCTGCCTCTAAACTCCTCACCAGTAGGTGAGCCATTGGAGACAACTACCCTATTCTTAAATTCCCTTAGGCAGTCTTGATTCCATATATTCTGTCACACTCACAGATCAGGGGAGGAAATTCTTTTGTTTATTAATGTGAATTCAGAAAATATGATTACCATGCCTATGGGCTATAGTATAAGTTTAGAAAATCTGGAAAGGTGCCCTGTCCAGCTACTGTCAGAGTCCTCCTGCAGTATTCTCCAGAACAGTTCTTAACCTTTTTTGAATCATGGACTTCTTTGGTGGTCTATGAGCCCCTTCTCAAAATAATTTTTCACATGGATAAAGTAAAATACATAAGATTACCAAGTAAACTAATTATATTGAAATATAGCTAGGTTGCATAGTGGTTAGAGAGCCAGACCTGGAGTCAGGAAGACTTTGAGTTCAAATTCAGCCTCAGACACTTAATAGCTGTGTGATCTTGGGCAAGTCACTTAACCCTGTTTGCCTCCATTTCCTTATCTGCTAAATGAGCTGGAGAATGACATGGCAAACCACTCCAGTATGTTCACCAAGAAAACCCCAAATAGAGTCACGAAGAATCAGACACAATTGAAACAATTCAACAACAGCACAATATATTAACTGAACGTTCTTTTCAGTGTTCAGCAGTGTTCTCTTTTCTCACACCTTGTAATACCGTCTTCAGAGAGAAACATATGAAAAGTTCTCATCTCTAAGCAGACTTTCATTTTTGCCTTTGCATTTCCAGTGCTTAACACAGTCTGTCACCCATAGCAGGCACTTAGTAAATGCTTGCCAATGGATTGCAGCTCCCCAAATAGCTGGGAGCATTCAAGAGACAAATCAAACCAAAGTCACCTCACGTTCTCATTCCTAAAAGGAGGAGGCTTGGACTGGGCGCCCTCTGAGGTTCCTTCTAGCTCTAAATCTGTGATAAAGGAAAATAATCATTATCTATTTTTCCCTGAGAAGCATCATGACGTGATTCACCAAGGACTGTGCTTAGAGTCATAGGACAAGAACCAAGGCCCTTGCTGTTCCCCTCACTAGCTGTGTTTCCTTGGGCAAATCACACAACCACCCTGAGCCTCACTTGTCTTTTTTAAAAAATGGAACTGCAGATACTGCCCTGTCGACCTTACAGGATTGTCATGAGGCTTAAACATAATAACATATTTGAAAGTGCTTTGAAAAGGCGCAAACACTCCTCGAATATTATAATCCTACTAAAAATGTTTTTGGAAGTTCAGTTATTTAAAACTAAGCATTTAAAGGAGAGATTGTGGATATGTTGTAGGTCTAATAATTGATGTGTCACCAAAGAATATTTTTTTAATTTTTAACTATATGCTCTTCAGTTCATTTGAAATTTCCACTTTTAAGTTCTAAATAATAGCAGGCTATTGCCAGCCAGCTCGCAAGCCTTGCACACAATGCACCCAGCTCTGTGTGTCCACAGCACAGGAATGGATAGAGTGGGAGGATAATGAGGGTCTGAAAGTGAGTTCAGATTCTTTTCTTCTCTCCTGCTGGTCCTGCAATAGATGGGATAGTCTGAGTGGGCACTGCGCCTTTGATAGAAGGGATGGAATGTTGATATAAGAAAGTTCCCTTTTCTGTTAGGGATGACAGTTGCAATAAGGCAGTTGAAGAAGCTCATTCGTTTAGAGGACAGAGAGGAGGAGGAGGAAACATGAATAAGGAATGCCACATGAAATGAGGAAGAAAGGTGAATAAAGAAAGAAGAATAACATAGCCTGAACAAAGTGGAGAGAAAAAGAAATGTTTGGAGAAGACAACATGGCTATTATCTCCCATTTAGAGCATATGAAGGGTTTGAATTTCTCTCTTACTCATGAGAGAAAATACTAGCTGATAATATTTGAGTTGGAATAAGATTTGGATTCAGGAACCTATAATTTTGAGTAGTCTATATATGCACTATTTAGACTATCATCCTATCTGCCCCAGCTCTACCTAGAGCAGAGGTTCCTAACCTTTTCCATGTCCTGAACCCCTTTGGCAGTCTGGAGAAGCATGTAGAGCTCTTCTCAGAATAATGTTTTTAAAAGGATGAAATAACATCCACAAGGTTACAGAGGAAACAAATTATATTGAAATATGGTTATCAAAATATTTTTTAAAACAAGTTTATGGACCCTAGATTAAGAATTCTTGACCTAGTACAGAATGGTTGGCTAGGGAATAAGGAGACCTGTGTCCTTATCCTTGCTCAACTACTTTTTTCAAGTTGTGTAACCTTCAAAAAGTCACATAACCATCCTGACCAGGAGTTTCTTCATTGGTAAAATTGGAGGGTTGGATTAGATAATCTCTAAGGTCTTGTTATGATTACCTTCTTTAGAGCTCATACTTTGACTTATGAAGTCTTCAGGTTCAGTTGTCTCAGGAATTTCTAATCATTTCTTCCTGATTCTCTTCAAGTCTAGCAGTTACTTTACTACTCCTAATTCTAGACTTATTTAAGGGATAAATACTAGCAACACATTTCCCCCTGGAATTAGCCCAATGGAAAGCCCATTTCTCATATGATTACTGCATTATCTAAAGGTAACTTTATAGGGAGCAAGGGTGACTACGCAGATAAGTTTCAACAATGAAAACTATGTATCATGAGTGCATTTCATCTACACAGAGTAGAACAATATTCTCCAGAGGATTGCCTGGAATATATTTCAGGGTCCTATGAGTTCTGAACAGTGGGTTCCATGAACTATAATACAAGAACATCCAAGAGAATAAAAGGCTGATAATTGGAAGCCATCAGGGGTGTAGTTCTAATTGACATTGTGGCATACCTTTATCATGCAGCAATCCAAGTTCTGGACATGCGTGGACCAACCTTGGAGATAGCTTCAAAATCTCCCTGGCTCATTTTAACCCTTTCCAGAGTTCTCTTGGAGAAATCTCCAAATATAGTTCATATTTAGGTCTCCACGGATGTAGGTAAAAGGGTTCCCAGCTCTCATGTAAGCACTAAAGGCAATGAGGTATATCAGATATAGGACCGTCTTTATTTCTTCCTACAAAGAAGCAAACAGAATATAAAAGACTTAGACCAAAAACACTATAATTCTCATAGGATATTGACCGAGAACTGGAAGAAACCTGAGAGGTCATCTGGTCCAGCCCCCTCATTTTATAAAATGGAAACCCAAAGAGGTGAAGAGATTTTGCTCAGAGTCACAAAGTAAATGGCAGAGCTAGGATTGAAACGAGGTCTTCTGATTCTGAGCCTGACATCCATTATACCACCCCTCACTGTTCCCTTTCACTCTGATGAATCTCACCTTTCCCTAAAGCCTTCATATAATCTCTGAATGCCACCCTGTTGCTTGGACTCTCCCAGAAAGGAAACATACTTGAGGTTTCTAGAGAGGCAATTCCTTGGCATTCCATTGAGTCCCACTTTCACACCAGATATCCATACAGACACCGTGAAGGGAGAATGCACCTGGGACCTCCACTATTAAACTCCTGAAGAGCAAAGTTCAGCTCTTTTGCTCCCCCCTCTCCCCAGGCTTTGGTCCCTTACTGATTCTCCAGCTGTAGGGGCCTGACACTGTACATGAATGCCTCTTCTCTCTCTAAAAAAACCCTAGATTCTGGAGCTGTCAAACTCAAGCATGCTGGGAGAGGTAATTCCATGAATGGGGCTGCCTAAAAACTCCCCCTTCTCTCCCTTGGTTAATTCTCACTACTTAGTCATGTGGTTTCACTCTCTTGAGACCATGTGGTTGACATCATGTTAATCTACCACATGTCTCTGCCACAGCCTCTTCAGGGCGGGTCCAGAGGCTCAGCGTCCAAGGACTTTGATTTCTACCACTGCCTTGATTGCTGGCCCCTTTTGAGTTAAAATGCCGCCATGTCTAGCTACCATGTCTAGGGAGCTGCTCAAATGAGCAGGTAGACCCTAAGCACCAGAGTCCAGTCTTAAGTTGCTAATTTCTGAATTGTACCCAAAAGGTAAAGACCTCCTTCACAAAAGACTTTCCTAGCACAAAAAGGTCCTAACCCACACCTTTCCCACAATTATCTGAACCAACCTAATTAACACAAGTCATGAGACTCAGAGACCCTTTCTCAGAGGGCTATGAACATATCCACAAGTGCCAGTGGTCATGTCCATACACTCCATAGGGAGATGTGATAAAATGTCTACTACTCATCTCCCTGTAAGCTCATCGAGTTCCTCAGGGAATTGTCATGACTAAGAGCAGAGGGTGGCACAGAGCAAAGATCTCTGGACTCAGGAGAGGCCTGGAGTCAAAAGCCAACCTTGATCTTAACTAGTTGCGTGTTTATCATCTAATCACTTCATCTGCCTATGTTTCAGTTCCTTCGCTTCTAAAATGGATATAACGTTTGTACTGTGTTAGTTCTCAGTTTTGAAGATAGCACTTTGTAAACCTTAAAGCACTATATAAATGGGAGTTATTGCTGTTCTGACTGTACCCTTTATGATCTCTGTGTCCAAAACTTCAGGGAGCTCTCAGCATAACCTGGCGCACAAGACTTCCCCAGGAACCCACAGGGAAAGCAATCCAGGAACAAGAGCACATTCCCCCCATCCCCTCCCAGAGCTGTGCTTCTCCACAGCAGAGGTCTAATTCACCTGTCTTGCCCTCTCTCCTTTCTTCAAAAGGATCAGGGCTACAACATAAGTAAGACGGGCCGGTTTTACAAACAACATACCAGGAGTTTGGGGTGTTACTTTTTATTAGTCTTGCTTGGAGACAGCCTCAGAGTAGAAGAGAGGCTGATATAATCATCTCAGCTACTGTCCACTGCTATTACTTATGTTATTGAGTGTTATAGCAATAACATATGCAGACCCATACTTCCTTATTCTCTAACCTCTTTCTAGAGGATCAGCTTGGGTTTCTTCATCTAACTTCAGGGAACTTGATTAACAAATGTTTCTGGTTCTCAAAGCCTCTAACTGCCATATTCCTGAAGTGTTTGGCATAGGAAGAAGCTTTTGCCATACCTGCAGGAGTTTAATTCTCTACCACTAGTTGGGTTCCTCCACCTGACTGCTTGTTGTATAACTAGGCCATAATATCAGGAATTTTCATTTTGGAAACACTGGCCTTTGGGAGCCTAATATGGTTTTATATTTGGAGATTTAGGGTTTCTAGTGAGACCAGTTCCTTGTCTAGTCTTGGGATTCCCATTCCTACCTAAGGATTGATTCCCTTCCCTCCTGTAGTCACCACAGTGGACTCACCAGCTCTGTCATACTAAGTGACCTAGGTCACTTTATCAGAAGTATAAGCCACAGCACACATAGTTACTGCCACTTTGTAGAGGACCATAAACTCTGACAAGGGCTATATACTCTCCCACCATCTTGATGAACTGACATATTTTTATTTCTGGCCTTCATGTTTCTGTTGTCTTTCAGATATTCATTTGGTTGCATTGATCTTTCTTCCAAGGTCACTAAATCCCCATGCTCTACTGCACTCCCCTTTTAGTTCTTCTTAGGCCTTCAGGATTCCTGGCTAAGTTGCCTGCCTGAATAAAAGCAGGCATCTTAGCTCCCACACGCCTGCTTTAGCAAAATCCTAAAACAGCACCAGCCTGAATAATGATCAATAAATCCAAAAACGTACTACAGTAAGTGATTTCAACCACACCAACACTGTCCTGAAAGTCTTCCAGGATGTCATGAAAAATAAGAAAAGGGGTCTGCCATAAAGGTAAGTTATAGCACAGGAAAAAAGATGGAAACCAGCCATCATGAGCAGAAATGTCTCAGAAATACTTGCACGTACCCAACAGAAGGCTCTCATGAGAAATTTCCCTAGGATACTGAGAAACTACATTGTGGACCTTACAGGCAAATAGGAGAGGCAGTGAGCACCTGAGGCATGGAAGCACTCAGACTAGGATACTCCAGACCTAGTAGCCCCAAGACACCACAGAAGGGCCCTAAAGATCCTACATGCTGAACCTTAAAAGAGCCAGGGAGGCATGAAACCTCCCAGCATCTTAACCAAGAAAAATCCTGGGAGGTAGAGAGGTCAGCCCAGGAGTCCTGGTGAGCAAATACAGTAGAACCCCCCATCCAAAAGCATAGGAGGGGGCAAAGTCTGCTTCTTGCACCAATCCCCAATTCAGTAACTAAAAGTAGAGATACAAGGAAGCAGAATTAAGTGCGCTGTACTCATTGCCTGCCTCAAAGGCAGCTAGGTGGCAGAGTGGATAGGGCACTGGTCTTGGATTCAAGAAGACATGGGTTCAAATCGGGCCTCAGATATGTACTAACTTAAGTCGCTCAACCTCAGCTTGCCTCAATGTCCTCCCCTGTAAATGAGGATAACAACAGCACCAACTTGGAGAGTTGTTGTGAAGCTCAAATGAGATATTTGTAAAGTGCTTAGCATAGTGTCTGCCACGTAGTAGGCACTGTGTAAATGTTGATTTCCTTTCCCGTCTTTCTAATAAACTATCAGAATCTTGTTTTCGGTAAGGAAGCTAATACTTGACCAAATACTCAACTTTAAAATGCTAGTAATCTTCCAGGAAGGAGGTTCTATTCCCCCACTTTTATTTTCTAAGAATATTGGCTTCCCCATGTTACTTCTGTAGTCCCCTTTATCCTGGCTGCTAAGGAGCTATACTCCTTATGCTGTTTGGGACAGAAACCTTTAGTTTGTTTTAGTTCACTAATTAAAGTGTGACTAAGCCTTAAAGGACAATGCTAACTTTCCCTTGCCTCAGAGATTAAATCTCACATGAAACAAAATGTGTGCAGGAGTGGGAGTGAGCTTAGTTGCTTGGCCCCAAGTTTCAAGAAGAAACCAGTGGTGAGAGAGATAGCCAGGAGCAGCTGAGAGTCAGGGAGGGCGGCTGAGATTTGAGCAGCCATAATGGCTCAGCTGCTTCAGTCACTGTTTCTACCTGCATAGCGTTGAGTAGCCTAAAGCCAATAACAAGAGGCATTTCAGGGTGAACGAATCATTTCTGTACAGTCTGTCCAAAAGAGCTGATATGAGATGGTGATTCATTTCTGTCCTGCCTGCCCACCTGCATGTCATGGAGATTTTATTCTAAGAACAAAGCTTGCCCATTCTTTATAGTTTGTTTGCATTTTGATTTTACGGGAATAGAAGTGCAGTTGATTAGAGCAAGTTTGGATTTTTATATTTCATTATCAAGAAAAGAATGTTCAAGAGGGGGCAGTGGCCAGCATGTACACACAGAAAGAAAATGAGACATTAAAAAATAGACTCTTTGTAAGAAGTCACTGGGATTTGTCCTAGCTAAGGGCTCTAGAGGTAAATGAAAGAGAATCTTATTCAGTTAAGTTCAGTAATTTCCCAAAGCAAGTTAAAAGTGTGAATCCAGGGTTTTCCCTTAAACAAGAAATAAGCATGTCAGTATTTTCTGTCTGGTATAGCACAGGGAGGGCTGCTGCTTTGGTCACACAGCCTTATCCTATTGCATGATAGGCACAAATAGAACCCTTTCCAAGGTTTGAGCCAAGGGACAGTTAAGTCATGCCTAGTAGAAGAGTAGTGACCAAAAAAGACTGTTAATGCCCAGATTCCAAAGGTGGGAGCCAAAGGGAGGGAGCAAGAATCCTAATCCTTTTCCTCTGCTTTAGCCCGGAAGAATCTCTTTATATCTGATACAAACTACCTTTCATCAAGACACTTCTGTACTTTATATAATATAAGAGACAATGTGCTATGGTGAAAACTACTCTGGATGTGTAGTCAAAAAGGACCTGAGTTTTAATCTAGCCTCTGATATTTATTGTGTGTTGATTAGCAAGTTATTTAATCTCTCTGAGATTCACTTTCCTTATCTGAAAAAATGGGGATAATAATACATGTAGTATCACCTTCACAGAGTTAACAAGAAGGATCAAATTAAATAACTATGCTCTTTATAAACCTGAAACAATGTATAAATGTCCTTTATTATTATTCTAAAAACTAGGTAGATCTTTAAGGGAGGGAAAGAGTCCCCTAGCTGGTTTATGGCTTCAAAGTGAAGCCCTCCAGCTCAAAACAGTGCAACTACAGGAGGTGATTCCCCTCATTCCAACTTATCTACAATTTTCAGCATGCTGTTATGGGGAGTTGTGATCTGGAATGAGCTCCCAGGGCCAGGTAGGCTATATTTTCCCCCTCAGGGTTCTAGGGTACCCTGAGGGGTTGAGGTGGTTTCTGCTGCCATTGGATTGAGCTTCCACTGACAAGCCTTCCTCCCCATTATTAAGGGCCAGTCACTAGCATCACAATTCCATTTATCCATTTAGCATCCATTAGCTTTTATGAAGGAATATATGCTTTGTGGACAGTCAAAGTTATAGCAAGAACAAAAATACAAACATTTTCCCCCAACACCTCAGTTTCTAGAAGGAAATAGTTTCAAAACTGTAGCTCAATCCCTACATAGCACAGGTCCCATCAAGTTTATGTTCAGACACAGTATTGCTCTGAGATGAATTCATATCTCAGCCACCGCTGGGATGGGTCATTCCAAAAATCACTTCTTGTTCCCTGGGGCTTTGAAGGTAGGCTGGCTGCAAAACATGGCCTGCAGTTCTGAGCTGTTGAAGCACCCTCCAGATCTTTTGAAACTCATGGTTATAAAGGTGTTACTCTCTTCACCTTGAACTGAAAAGAACAGTTTGAGAGGCTCCTTCATAGGGCCACATGGCCTTGGAGGAGAGAAGGCCCCATGAGGCTTCATGAACTAAGGAGTCCCTGAATGAGGCCAAGAGTGAATGAAGCAAACAAGGAAGTACCTGGTGCTGAAAGGTCTCTGTTGAATACCTCTGCAGACCAAAGCCTCCACTTAAACACATGGTTAACCTGAAGGAGCCAGTTATAGAATATCCATACATGCTCCGCAGTCTTTCCAAGGCACTTCCCCTACATGTCATCACAATTCTACCAGAAGCAAGCTCCCTAGCCTCTGCATGGGAAGAGATGTCATTCCAGGCATTTTGCCCCAAGCCCTCGGTTCATTCTTCCCACCTGTACCCCCTTCGAAGTTGATGTCCTTGATGGACAAACAGGGTGGGGGTACCTTGAGTACCTTGTCCATGTCCTCAAACCCAAAGCAATCCTCTGGGGTCTTTGGGGAGGTAGAACATTGTTCTATCACTTGCTTCCCCAATGCCTAACAGAAAAAAATGTGTCTAAAGAGGCAATACAGTCCCACATATACAGTAAAAAATCATAATTGTCTCCAAATAGGGAGTTATGTCAATTCAACAAACAGGGACATTTCATAAAGTTTACCAAATACTACTTTTTTTTCAGTATTCGACAACTGCTTGTAAGTGCTCAAATGACCCTCCTCAAAACATAGGCAAAAAATAAAAGGAAAACAAGCCCACTCCCTGCCCTCCAAAAAAGGCTTCTTATCTCAAAAGGATATTTGGCCCCCCTAGACTATGTGGAACTCTCCCTAAAGGGGTTTAGGACTTGAGATCAGCTAGAAGTCATTCCCCCCCTTAGATAGAAACCAAACCAACTTGGTTTAGTGCAGCCTGCTAGCTCTCTATCCCAGGGAGCTGGGGTTCTTCACCCTCTCCCTTTTTCACTAGTGATCCCCTACCTTTGCTTTGGACCATCGTTCACTGAGTGGATTCAATCATTGAGTAAGTCCTATAAAAAAAAAGTGAATTTTCCTTTTTCAGGAAAACTGAATACCTGTCACAGTCCTTGAGCTCATGTGGTTCTCTCCATACAGGGAGACAGGACTGGAAGTCACTCCTTCACCCTCTGTGACAAACCCACTGTCCTGGGTGAAAATTCTACCATGATTCCCTCAGAGCATAAAGCCTTCCCACTTGGGTCTGCCAAAATTTTTAAGTGTCTCTTTCTACAGAGGGCATATCAATAAATACTCAGGTTTGCAGAAATCATCTCAAATGGGAACTGATGAGACAACACACACCAGAAAAACCAATTGTAAAATTACGGTCTTTAAAAAAATCCGATTTCTCTAGAGTCCTGGATGGTTAACCTCTAGCAGTCTGCAAATTTAAAGGGCTCAATTTCATTCCAGACAATCCCCCACATGTAGGGGGTGAGCTCTAACTCACTCCTCGAACAAATTTGCTACATATGCTCCTCAGAGTTCTAGGGGGTAACTCTGAGGTGTTGAGATGTCTATTCTTCTCTATTGCTGTAGTCCCTCAACCCACAAACTAGCCCCTCCCCATTGTCAGGGGTCAGTCACTATTCCATTTAACCACTTGACATCATTTAGCTTTTACAAAGGGATACTTGCTTCTGAGAACTACAAAACAAACATTTTCCAGTACCCTTCCAACAAATGCCTTGGGGCCATATTTTCCCCAATGCCATCTCAGCCTACAAGGGGAAATAGGCTCAAAACTTAGCTGAGTTCCTACATAGCATCAGTCCCACCAAGCTGATGTTGAGCGTGGCACTGCTGCCAAATAAGTCCTTCTCTCAACTGCTGCTGGGCTGGGTCATCCTGAAGGTCACCCTTTGCTCCTGGGGGTACTGAAGCTGAGCTGGCTATGAAACCTGTCCCTAACTGCAGCTCCCTCTAAACCATTTTTTATCCCAAGTCATGGAGGCTTCACTATAGTGGGAAAGTAGAAGGGGACCAGAGCTGCCAGTGTATGGCTTTTGTTAGCCATGGTTCCTAGGGACATTTTCATTGGTCATAGATTCTTTTGCAAGGCTCATGTGGAAGAATGCACCAGTACTTTCTTTTCTCTATTTGTTTCTGCCCCTAGCCCACTTTTGCAGAGCAAAAAGAAATCTTCCTTCCTTGAAAGGAGAAATTCTCTCTCTCTCTCTCTCTCTCTCTCTCTCTCTCTCTCTCTCTCTCTCTCTCTCTCTCTCTCTCTCTCTCTCTCTCTCTCTCTCTCCCCCCCCATATATATACATACTAGGCAAAACCAGTATTAATGGCCTTTAAAAATTATACACACATTTTAGATAACACAGTGAAAGTAAAACTAATTAAAGAAATGTAAATCCTTACCCCTGACTATGGAGGAACTTGTCTAGACTCTGCAGAAGTCAAGGTAAAGGAACAAAAAATTGGGGGGTTATTTACAGGCAGATTCCCACAGAAGGGACAGAAAAGGGGCAGAAAGGTGTTGTTAGCTGGGCTGAGGTCCCTTACCATACCTGGTGGCAGTGTCCATTCTTCCTTGTTTGCATCTGGGTCAGCAAAGAAATTCCAGCCCTGTGTTCTGTCTGCATGTTTTCAGCATCCCCTTTTCTTGATCAACTTAACCACACCACCCTAACTTCTGAATTGCAGCTGCCCATTGTACTGTGATGGCTTCTTGGTCACCCTATGACCACACTGATATCCTTAAGTTCAACCTCAAGTGTACCTGGAAACTCTGGGTATTCTGTATCAGGTTGAACGGAAGGCCCCTGGGACCCAGGGAATTCTGGGAAGTTTGCCCAACTAGCCGACTGTCATTTCTAGAATTCTGTATTTCCGTGGCAATGCCCATGGGCCTGAAAAAAGGGGGCTACACCATGTTCTTAATCCAGTCCTAGGATGCAGGCTATCGACTGTGTGTCTGTGTGTGTGTGTAACCCAGTCCCTGACAAAACTGAATCTTAAATACCAAGTGCTGTTAATTTAGTTTATATTTGTTCCTGGTGTACCCAGAATATGGATGAGGAAATGATGACAGGCCTCTGCAGTCACCACCCCGGGTAGTTGTTGATCTGTCCCTTCTATCACCTTCATTAGATTCTCTTAGTTGGGGGTGAGAGGGTAGAAGTCTTCATCATACTGATGCTGTTATCAAGGTCCTTTTGACCCCGGACGCTCAAGGTCCTGCAGATTTTAGCACTGGTACACCTTTACGGTCAGGGAGTGGTTCTGAAGAGTGTTCCCAGGACACAGCATTTTCTTATGCTGGACCCTGGTGCAGACATCCCAGAATCCAAGCAGTGTTCTGCACAGGCATAGAGACCCACACACAAGGCATCAAGGGTGGATTTCTCAAAAGAAAAACACAGATAGAGTGAACATAAGGAATACCACCAGGATCCCTGAATGCCAGGGCTGTGCTGCTCAGCCAGCCATGCCCCCAAACTACACTTGGTTCCCCCTTTGCTGTCTCACCACACCCCAAATCTCCCACCTGCAGAAATCACAGCCAGCTTTCCGAAGAACATACCAGTAAGTAGCATTTGCACTGTCTCATTCCCTTAAATATCTGGCTCCGGTAATCTCAGGAAGAAGTGCGGATGGATCAGCTGTCCTCCTAACAGCTGCCTGCAGAGTCTCCGGCACCAGTGCTGTGGAAGCTTCTCAGGGAAGTCTTTCATGTGTTGCAAATGCACCATATGGGCTTTCTTCTGTCTCCATAGCCATCTGTGCTTGTCTCTCTCCACTGCAAGTGACACAAGAGACATTCAGGCAGCAACGTACTGTATTAGGTGTATATGTGCAGACACAGAAACAGGTGGGCCCAGTGTATCTAATGAGGCCCTTGAAATATGAGCTCCCCCAAATCAAGTGCATCCCATAACACAGGATCTCCTAATGCAAGTGAAAGTAATCAAAGTTAGAATCGCTGTGACTATAAATCTTTAATATCAGTCAAGTTAGTTAGAGAAAGTCATTTCTCCAATTTTTCCTTCTCATCAGACAAATTAGTGGACTGAAAATAACAGACAATTGGTTTGATGCAACAATCCTTCCTCCAAATCACTTCATATTTAATTGTCTATGTACATGTTGGATTTCTCCAGTAGAATGTAAGCTCCATGCCCAGGAAATGCTGTTTAAAATGTTTTATTGAGGGAGGCATCCACGGTGACAGAGCTGCTAAGTATTAGAAATGGGAGATGACCCGATTCTCACCTGACACTATGTCAAGGACTCTTCACACTGCCTGTAGAAATAAAAAAATAGAGATGGCACTCAACATAATGCTCTGGACTTCAATTTACTTGTATGATTCCAAGGAATAAATGGATGCTAAAAAGTCCCTATGTTAAGGGTGATGGACTTGTATCAATAGCTGTCAAAGAAAAGAATATGTGATCTAAACACACACTTGTCAACAGCTGCACAAATGCAGTGACTGTTCTGGACCATACTGCTGTTGACCTTCCCTTTAGAGATCTTAGCCCACACGATGAATAGCAAATAGGTGAAGAGCACATTGTAGTTTAAAAACCCAAAACTCAACAAGTAATGGTTAAATTCTGAGTTCTTTTTCCTTCTCCATCATCGACTGATTTGTTTTCTAGCAAATGATTTAGTACTTCCCTATGTCCTGAAGCTTTTCTTGAGCTTATCTTGCCCAGACAGAATCCTTCCAATCACTGTGCTAGTTCAAACATACCCATGAGAAGAGGGCCATAAATTTTTGTCTAGGATCTCACTGAACTTTTAAAATGCTTTAGATGGACAGGTGCTTCACAAGAACTGAGTATTCTTATTATAACTTAACATCAGCTTGTTTTTAAATGAACTCCACCACAGATGTAGTCTCTTTGAACAACAATGATCTCTTTGAAAGAGTTCATAAGGAAAAATAAAGTTAACTCCTTTAAGTTTCCATGTTACCCAGGAAAAGATTTGTGCTAAGCTTTGGTTATCCTAGTATTATCTTCTCTTTGTGAACATGTAGTTAGAGCAGGAATCTTAACAAAAAGCATGATAATAAAACAGTTGCAATGTCATCGTACAGGGAAGCTTAGCTTTGACATAAAAAAAATCCTCTTAGGACAAGATGTTACATTCCCTTTTACCTTGAGAGTTGGACAGTAAGGTTTTGGGTTTGTTTGTTTTTCAGAAATTACATTCTGACTTACTTAAGATGGAACATTGAGAGCCAGTTGCTACGTGTGGTTGAAACCAGTGAAGTCCCACTGATATCTTTGTCCTCCTTTCTTGGCCGACACCGTGGGCAGACACTGCACAGAAATTAGGAGGAAATGTATTGGCTAAGCCCTTTGTGGTGATTGAGTGGTAATGATAAGGAAAAGATGATTATGGATTAGCCAGATTGCATCTCTTTTGAAATGCTTGTTAAACAAAACAGCTAGCATCTCCTAACTTTTCGATGAGCATTCTCAGAGTTTCAGATTTGAAGACCATGAAGCCTCCAAGTGACAATTAGCTCGATTTTTATCCTTCATAAACTATAGGAACTGTCCTTTGTCTTTCTTTGTACCACAGGGCTTAGCACAGCACTTGGCATATAGCAGGCACTTAATAAATAGTGGCTGATAGACTGGTTGATTATTATAATAACATAAAAAACAACAACAACGATAGCTAGTTTTTAATATAGCACCTTAAGATTTGCAAAGCGCTTGCCATATATCATGTCATTTAATTCATTCAGCCTCCCTATGAGCTGGGTACTGTTATTGCCCTCATTTTCCTTTTCCTTCTGTGGCTCACCATGCAACTTATTAAGAAAATTCAGCAGCATAATAATAGCTACCGTTTATATAACACCTTAAGATTTGCAAAGCACTTTACATATTTTGTTTCATGTGAACTTCACAGCCACTCTATGTATTAGTCTTATTATCTCCATTCTTCAGAGGAGAAAACTGAGGCTTAAAGGTTAATAATAATAATAGCTAACATTTTATGTATGATATATATGTCATATGTATGATATATATATATATATATGTGCCATGCACTGTGCTAATTTACAATTACATTACACTTTACAATTATTATCTCATCTGATCCTCACAATAACTCTAGAAAGTAGATGCTACTATAATTCCTGTTTTACAGATGAGGTAACTGGACAGAGAAAAGTTAAATGACTTATCCAGGGTCACACAACCAGTATGGTCCAAAGCAGGATTTGAGCTCAGGTCTTTCTGACTCCAAGTCCAGCACTCTATATCCATTGTGCCACCTAACTGCATTCAAATCCTTCCTCAGACACTTACTAGCTGTGTGACACTGGGCAAATCAATTATCCTTTTATCTGCCTCACTTTCCTTATCTGTAAAATGAGGATAATAATCTTACCTCCCAGAGCTGTTATGAGGGCCAAATGAGATAGCATATTATGTGCTTTGCAAACCTTAAAGCACCATACAAATGCTAGCTATTGTTATTATTATAAGAAAGATATAGGGTTATACTATTAATGCCTTTGATAAATATATCTATTTTCATAATTGCTGTGTACGTGTAATATTTTTTAAAGAACAAGAAAAGTATTGAATGTCTTATTAGCAAGCTTTAACTCCAATCAGGATGAGTTCTTCAGCATTTTGCAGATGGGCAAATTGTCTTCTTTATTTTTGTGAAGTTGATTTCATTCATTATCTACTAAAATGCTGGCTTAAATAGCTTTTCCAAATAAGAATTTCCAGAATTGCATAGTATAGTCTGCCATTGTTAAATTGTTTGCATTTTTAAACTTAAAACGAAGTCATTCTAAAACATTTTAGATAAATGACCAAAAAGTGACCATAAACAATGACTTTCTTTTATGTTTTAAATATATCCCAGAAACCATCAATTTAATTTCATTACACTATTAATTTCTCAGTTAGCGATATTTTCATTCTTAAAATGGTTAGTCTATAAAAAGGTTCTGATGTTTTTCTCTAAGGAAGTCATTAGCTTCATTTTATGAAGAGAGTTATTCAGTAACTTGTTCAGCCAGATACCTCACATTCTCTTGACCAGCCCAACCTTACATATCTCACTCACTGGTATTATTTGGAATTCCGTACAAAGTCACTGAAAGCTTTGGTTTCATCTATGGAAAAAAGATGTATATATAAAGGGACATGGATCTTTTCCATAATGACAGAAATGCAGGGCCAAGTTCACCAGCTAAAAAAGGGAACAAGGGTTCTGTCTTATCAAAAATAAGCTGAAATACATTGACTAGACCCCAAGTATGTTGGCTCAGGGTGGTCACACAAGATTGGTAAGAATCCTTCAAAGAAGCATCCTTTATGGAAGAGGCATAACAGTAGATGACCGCTCCAACAGACGCTGACAGAAGCTCATTGTGGGGTGATACATGGTAGCTTTCAAGGCCAAAAGGAACACCAGCTGTGGAGGAAGAGTAGAAAAGCAGTGAGGTACTGCCAGGTGGAAGGAGATGTTCTAGACATGATATGTCCTTTGGAGCGTAACATACCCGGGGGACACTGCCTCTCCTACTGGCATCGGAAATCATATTTCTTTGTGTTATATTAATGGAGGTGGCAGAGAATAATTCTTCTACTGGATTCTCCCTTATTATTTTACTATGTTATTCTGTCCTAATTATATGTTTCTATTTATCATTCTAACTAGTCTGGTGGTAGGTAGAGCACTCAATGGGAGTTTGGACTTTTTTTTTTTTTGGTCAGGCAGTTAGGGTTAAGTGACTTGCCCAGGGCCACACAGCTAGTAAGTATTATGTGTCTGAGGCCGGATTTGAATGCAGATCTCCCTGACTCCAGGGCCGGTGCTCTATTCACTGCACCACCTAGCTGCCTCAAATTGATTTTTTTTTTGGCTAGGCAATGGGGTTAAGTGACTTGCCCAGGGTCACCCAGCTAGTAAGTGTCAAGTGTCTGAGGCCGGATTTGAATTCAAGTCCTCCTGACTCCAGGGCTGGTGCTCTATCCACTACACCACCTAGCTGCCCCAAGCTTGGACTTTTTAAATATAATTTCAGTTATGCGCAAACCCCCTGCACCAAACCTGGAGTAGCAAGAGATTCCATAATCAAGTGGGGCCTTTATTGCATATGGATATAGACCAGGAATATGATCAATTAAACAGATTAGAGCTTAGATAAGAGAGGGAGAAAGAGAGAGTGTTAGAGTTTCTGCTCTCCAACCCCATGAATCCCACAGATACAACGCAATTCCCGGACACTCACAGTTTATCCTAGGTAGAACACTGAGAAGGCATATGGAGACTTCATGGACAGATCTTCCCACCAGTGGCTGTGGCATTTTAGGTGAAAAGACACAAGAAGGCCACTGAAGGCCCTCAGGGATGTCATATTGATATCAGGCTATTTGGTCAAGGTTAGAGTTTCAGATCCGAAGCAAGGCAAACAGCTGTTCAGCTTATCATATTCTACTCTGGGAATCCAAAGTCATCAGAAACTGATTTTCTGTTTTGGTTGATTGCTTGCCCTAGGATATATGATTAAACTGCAAAATGGGAGAAATTCACTTTCACATCCTTTCACTTCCATTTTTTCATCCTCTGTGTACCTTTTTGCTCTACCAGGCCTTTCACATGCCCAGCGTACCCTCATGCTGTACCAAGCCAGGGTCCTACCCAAATGTGTCCTCTTTGGAAGTGGTCAGTGATCCCAAATCCTTCATTTCCTTTCCTTTTCCTTTTCCCTTCTCCCCATTAGAAAACAGTCTTAATCTTAGGTGCTAAATTATACTCATCTTACTAGGTATTAGAAGATTATCTAATTAAACTAATATTTAAGTGTGAATAACTTATATAAACCTCCAGGGAGCACTTGCATTAAAAAAAAAAGGACCTCGTTAATCAAAATAAATCTTTGATCAATGAAATGTTGACAAGGGGGATTTTTTTTAACAGTCAGTCAAAAAACATCAAGTGTCTACAATGTGCCATGCACCGTGCCAAACACTGGGGAGAGAGAGAAAGGCAGAATACAGTCTCTGTTCTCAAGGAACTCACAATCTAATGGGGGAGTCAATATGCAACCATGAGCAAACAAGCTATAAACAGGGTAAATTGGAAATAACCAACAGAAGGAAGCACAAGAATTAAGGGGGAAATAATGAAGGATTCCTGTAAAAGGTGGGATTTTAGCTGGAATTTGAAGGAAACCAGGGGAGGTAGAGATAGGAAGGGAGATAATTTCAGGCACGGGGGACAACCAGATAAAATGTTTAGAGTCAAGAGATGGAGTATTTTGTTTGAGCAGCAGCAAGAAGTCCAGTATCACTAATTCAAAGAGTACTTAGGGTGGTACGAGGTGTAAGAGGACTGGAAAGGTGAGATAGGAAGGGCCAATTATGAAGGGCTCTGAATGCCAAGTAGAGCATTTTATGGTTAGTTCTAGAGGTGATAGAAAGTCATTGGAGTGTATCGAGGAAGGGAGAAGGAGCAGAGGGAAGTTACGTGCTCAGACCTACGCTTGATCATTTTGGCAGCTAAATGGAGGCTTGACTAGATGGGGAGATACTGAGGCAGGAAGACCAGCTAGCAGGCTGTTGTCCAGGCATAAGGTGATAACAGCCTGCACGAGGCTGGGACACAGTGTCAAAGGAGAGAAGGGGGCTTGTACAAAAGTATCCCAAAGGCCTTTGCAACAGACCAGAGATAGGTGGGACGGGGAGTCAAGGATGACACCGAGGTTGTGAGCCTGAGTGACCAGGAGAATTTTGGTATCCTTCTCCACTGATCCTCCTTCCTACACCAGAAGAGCAAGGATAGAAAGTTTGGTCAAAAGGTTTTCACCTTGTGCTGAGAGTCCTTGAGAGCAAGGACTGTGTCTTATGTCATCTTTATATACATAGTACCTTGTACAGAGTAAAAACTTAACAAATGTACGTTGAATTGAATAGAATTGTTTTATGCAATATTCACATGGGTTTCTTAGATGTTATTAAATGAAAGTTTATTCTGCATTGTACACAGTAATAGCGACATTGTATGATGACCAACTTTGATAGACTTAACTCAGCAATGCTATGATCTAAGACAATTGCAAAAACCTCATGATGGAAAAGGCTGTCCACATCCAGAGAAAGAACTATAGAGTCTGAATGCAGATCAAAGCATACTATTTCCTCTTTTTTTTCTTCCTCATGGTTTTTCCCTTCTGTTCTGACTCTTCTTTCACAACGTGACAAATGTGGAAATATGTTTAATATGATTGTATATGTATAACATACATCAAATTGCATACTGTCTTGGGGAGGGGAGGGAGAAGAAAAAATTTATAACTAAAAATCTTATAAAAGTGAATGTTGAAAACTGAAAATAAAAATATTTTTTAAAAAGTCTATTCTGTTCCTTTAAAAAAAATCCATGCATTTTATTAAGAAACAGCACTTTGGGGTATGG